GCAGGCACAGGGTTCGATTTGGCTGATTCTTTCCTTGTTTTCTTATTTGTAAGAAATGGTGAAGATCCCTGAGCACAATTTGAACACCACATTCTTCTTGACGTTCTCTTCAGCACTAAACTGAGCAAAAATGGATTTTAAGTCTCAGTCGAGCAGCGGCTGACGACTGGAACTTTTGAATCCCGTCGACGTTAATACGCGGTGGTTATGTCAAGGCCAACAATCGATAGTGTTCGTCGCAAGCTGCACCACACAGCAACAGAGAGCGGAGAATCCGATCATGCTGCAACGACACACTGACAGGGTGACATTCGTAGCTCATCATGTAAGGTAGTGTTGGTTGAGGCATGGTATTATTAGGTTTATTTAAGTATGTATGGGCTCACTGTGCTCTGCAAAAGGCTTGAGATTGTTTCACTGCTACGTCTTTCCTGAAAACAAGCGAGCCAGTATAGTTGCTTCAGCAAGGAAAGAACATTCCACGGACACTTCCAGTCTCGAGCACAATGGCACTGACAGCATACAGTATGTTACCGATAACGCTGTCTGAGTCTGTGTGTATTTTAATTATGCCAGGAGGTGTGTGTTAATCTGTGGAATAAAATTCAGAATAAGTGTGTAGAGATTTTTTTCTTTTTAAATTCCTCTCTTCTTTTTTCCCTCTCTCTGTGGATCTGACTGTTTTCTGTTTTATAAATTACAATAAACATTTCAAATCAAATATTTGTAACCTAACCTCGAAATCATCCAAACGTGAGATTTGACAGGAGCAAAAACAAGTTTGATTTTCAATCCACAATCCTACAGGAGTGCAACCTGATGGATGATTATCTCTGTACAGAATCTGAGCAGGGTCATCTGAAACACCGAATCAGGAAAAGTGTCTGTGTTTGTCAATTAGTCAGAAATTATATTTTTAAAAAAAGGAGAGATCCAAAGAGTAAACTGAACAAAAGAGTCGGGAATCATCAGTGTGATCCCCCACCCACCCACCCCTCACACCAGCATTTCCCCATGCAAAGAGAGCTTCTCCCCAGAGATTACATCACACATTTCTATTCTAAAGAAACCCTGGAAAATGTGTGTGTGCGTGTTCGCGTGTAAGTGTGTGTGTGCATGTGTGGGTGTCTGCGTCTGGGTGTGAGTGTTGACCAACATGGGCCAAGATAGAAAGGTATAAATAATAGCAGTGATTTGTTGAGAGCTCTGAGCTTCACTGATACCCAAAACACACACAAACATAAACACGCACACACACAGCTTTCTAAGTTTAAATAAGAGAAATGAAATTGACAAATTGTGATTTTTTTTAAAGTTTTCAAGTAAATTACAGTATTGTTGTTAAGATATGCTGCAGTAAATTGACATATTTTGTCTTATCCTCATATTTCCAATACATAAAATGATTTTTTTAAATGTTAGATTTGCCACAATTTCAATAATAATCTGCCAAATAATGTGGGACTTGTGCTCTGTACGTTTTTTTGTTTTATAGAAATCCAGTCATATTATTCCTGCAGCACTTCATCTGCCTTCGGACCTGACTTTAGCCCTATAATGATAGTGTTGCTGCGCAAAAGCGCAGTATAAAGGACAAATAATCTCTTTCCCCCCCCCCCCCCCCCCCCCCCACATGGCGAAGACGAGCTTTGTCAACCGATCTTGTCGATACTGTGCGCAAAAAGGAACAAATCAAGTGTGCTAAATTTATGTGGGGTGGGGAGGTGGGGGTAAACAAAAAGCATTTCCATAACAAAACAAGTCTTCGACCTGCAACAGATTCCGCAGGCGCTCAGGGACAAGAGACACACATGCAAAAAAAAAAAAAACTAAAAAAAAAAAAAAAAAAAAACAAAAAAAAAAAAAAAAAAAAAAAACAAGATAAAAAAATAAAAAATAGAAACGTATAAATTAAACGGCTTTTTAAATGAAGTGGGGGTTTTTTTAATCTAGTACGACCCATTGCTTTCACATCTGCAGAATAAATAATTCTAAACCTCTGGGAGAAAAAAAGCCAAATAATTTGCCAACTTCTTTCGTGTGTTTGTTACAGTTGTGCTTGCATTTCGGCGCGTGCGCGTGCACGTCCGAAACCAACTGCAAAAGTGTTGAAATACACTATTTTGCAGTGTACAGAGCTCCGAGATTTTTGTTTTTTAAACAGGCCTTTAAAATGGGCCTCCGGCACCTAATGTAGACGCTGTAACCAAAATGTAAACTCTTAACTATTATTAAAATTAACCTGCCTGACAAAAGACGATCATATGATGCAGGTTTAACAGTTTTTTGGGGGAGGGAGGGAGGGGGGACAAAACAGACACAAAACTTCTAAATCGTCAGACTTCTTCTTCGACTAAGGTGACACTTTTGACTTAATATTCGCATCGTTTTTTGATTTATTGCAAATGATTCCGCCTATGCCTATGAAATAAATCCAGTATCCCCACTACAAAAAAACAAAATAATAATAATAATGATGATAATAATCAGAATGACTTTAAACCTATTTAATTGAAAAGAATGTGTTAAAACGTTTGTCAAACAAAGTAAAGAAACAAACGTAAATTGAAGAGCAGAGCTGCGAGGGGAAGCTCTGAAAGCAGATCAGGCTAAAGGAACTTCAGCTGATCAAATCCACTCACCGTGCTCGGAAATCACCCCGGCTAGTGCGGGATCCTCGTCCGACTTGAGGTGCTGCGGTTTGGCTTGCTTGCGTCGGGACATGCTGCTGGCTTTAGTGGTGGCGATGCTGCTGCGTTTGCGCTCCGAGATGTGTCTGCGTTTTGCAGATACATCAGCGAAGAGCGAATCAACACACAAAAAGTTCGCAAACAGTCTGGTGGCGGAGAGAGAGAGGAGGAGAGAAAAAATATAAATCTGAAATTAGCCGGTGTTGCTGCTGCCGCTGCTGTTGCTGTGCGTTGGATTGCGCATGTCGGTATAATAATTATGATAGTGAATAATGCCTCGCGATTAATGGCAGTGTGTGAAGGTGGGGAGGATTGGCTGGAGGCCAATGGACGCGCATTGGATATGGTAATGAGGGACGGACTAAGCAATTAGCCGCTTCACTCTCAGACTTTATCCGTCTCTTTTGTCTTTACTATCCAACCTCCACCTCCCCAACAACACAAAACAACACAACACACCAAAATCTCTTGTTATACCCAGTTCACATGGGGTCTCCAACGAGGGGAACGCCGGGCTCCTTTGCCCCCTACTCCTTTGAGTAAGCGCACTGACTCACAAGTACTAAGGATTCACCAGCGCTTTCTTCTTTTTTCTTTCTTTTCTTTGACGAAGTGTCTCTCCCTGGCCTCAACGATCCATCGTTTACCGCAAAACTTCAGAAAACGTTTTCTCGTTAAGTCTGTCCCGAGATACTGGCTCAGTTCTCGCAGCGCCTCTCTCTCTAACTTCTTTTATTTATTTATTTTTCTTGTTCTGTGCGTGTGGCGAGGTGAACACGCAACTCCTTGAATCGGACTCAAAGGAAGCGACGTCTAAAGTCGAGATGTGTCAGATTTCTGTCGGTGGACATCTTCCCAGTGAAGCAGCCGCTGTTTGAGTTGCTACACGGGCACCGGCAGCAAGGAGAAGTGGACGGGACGAGTTAAGTTATTTGCAATAGAGCGATAAACTGCCACCAGCTTTTGCTTTTCTAAAGGCGCAGCTCCGCTCTCCAAACTTTGACGCGCGTCTTCCGAGAGAGCGGCGCCAAGATTAGCAACAGTGCTCCTCTCAGTAACAACAAGAACGTCTGTGTGATCAAACACTCGTGTGTCCGACAAAGAGAAGTCGCTTCGGTGCGTGTCTGACCGCGACGAAGTTCCTCCCGTGTACCTCCTCTCGCCGTGTATGCGCCCTCGGCTCGGTGCGCTCTCCAAAAGCGTCTTTTCTGGATATTTGCTGATCAAAAAAGCCCTAAGCACCACTTGATTTCCGAAAAAAATCCAAACCAAAACAAAACAAACAAACAAAAAGAAAAAAAAACTAAAGCTTCACTCGATGTCTTTCCTTCGCTCGGCTCTCGGGCTCATATCGAAACCAACTTTGAAGTTATCTTCTGGCAGCCCTCTAGCAGCGTCGGTCGGTCTGTCGCTGTTGGGCATGGCTCTGTGTGTGGGGGACTGCGCTGTGTGTGAGAGTCAACCCCCAAGCAGGGGTTCAGCCCATTGCTTTCAGCCACCACTAGGATGTACCACCACGTTACTGTTCAATGGATCGTCCTCAGACTTCTGTGTGAACACCCAGATTTGACCTCCCATCATATAATATCTCACCCGTCACCGCCCGTATCCGCCAGAAGGCTGGGTCATCATATTAATGCGGCAGAGTATTTTTATTTCGTGACATCGGCGATTTTCTGATTACACGGTAGGCTTTCAATCACAACACCCCGGCTTTATTCTAACTTTGATTCTGGAATGTGGACATTTTACGCACGGTGGCGGTTTTTGAACATGTGGGCTGCTTTTTGATTTATGTACCGACACTAATATTGGGGAATTATTGCAAAACAACACAATAATAATAATATGAATATGAATAAGTAAAGTGTGTCAGAGTACACATCATACAGCATATAATTAAAACCTCTTTCCCTCAACACACAGTTAAAATAAATACAGAAATTAATTATAATTTTGCACTAAAATGTACGCATGCACGGTGGGGAGAAAGGAACCAAATGAGCTCGTGCTTGAGTGCCATGCGAACACTGCGTTTTATTTATTTAACAGAAGTAACGGTTTCATGTTTATTTCCGTATTGCTAACTTAAGGAAAATGCATTTTCATATTGCATCGTTAAAAGTGGATGTGGAAAATGGGCACATCATAATCGCGCTTGTTTCCGACTTCAGGCGCACAAATGCTGCCAATTCCTGACTAAATTAGAAACCTTTTTACTGTAATGATAGATCTTCAGCTTTTTTCAGTTCATGGGTGAGCTCAGTTAGAGCTTCCCCGCTCTCCCCCCTCCCTCGCCCTCCCTCTTGTCTGTTTGACTTGTCTATTCCCCCGCGTCCACCTCATATGAGAGACAAATCTGTTGACAACAAGGTCGTCCTGTGAGCAAACTTTCGGTGCCCCCCCTCCCCCCTTTTCTTCTTCCTCTCCATCTCTTTCTATCATCCCCTTTGAAGTTATGTCCAAAAGGCTGTTATTATCTGGTATTAATAGATGCAGCCCCAGGAAGACAAAATCAGCTATTGATAATTGCAAGGAGTATACGGCAGCTACTGTATCGATCGGCGTGTCCTCCACTCCCCTGGTACTGAGAGATAAGGAGACACACTCTTTAGAGCAATATAATTTCTTTTGACCTATCTGCTTGCTACAGACTTATGATGAATAGCCAGAGTGGCTGAAGTCCTTTATCACCAAAGTTACCCCCTTGATATAATATTGATTCTTTATAACTAGCTCGCCACACAAAAATCAAACTGTCCACTTGGCCATCATCATCATCAATATCATCACAAAGGCGGAGGAATGAAGATCCCCCGCGCGTCTAAAGGCGAGCCGTTACAATCTCCTCTGTAGGCCTAATCTTTATTTTGCTGATGATGAAAGGAGAGGGGAAACGAGGCAAGGTGCCATTTAAGACGCGGTGCCATTTAATCCGGTATAGACTACACATACACACACCGCACACACTTATAGAGAGAGAGGGAAAGAGAGGGGGTGTCCAGACCGGGCTGCCGAACAGCTTTGGAATTCACGTCGCTTGAAAAGTTTGATTTCCACTAAGCTTTACGTAACCCTAAGAGCCCCTGTGATTTTATATAGCTTGATCTGACTTCAAAAATAAATAAATTACCAAGTCAAATATTATTGTTCTCCAATTTACTGCAGTGGACGAGCAAATAAATACATAAATACGTTTTTTTTTTAAAAAGCACTTTTTTGTTTCATGGCACTGCGGATGCCGGATGCCTCAGAGGTATCCTTTAACCTTAGAGGCTGCTTCCTGCAGAGCTGGATCCCCACCGAGGCTATTACAACGGGGGCCACTCTCTCTATTCTCCGAGAGAGGAGTGAGAGTGCTGCTGGTGCTGCTGGTGGAAGAGGAGGAGGAGGAGGGGGGCATGGTGGCGGAGGAGGGTGGGAGAGGAGGGAGAGCAGAAACGTGTAATCACCCAAACAACCGTTTTTACCCGTTTCACCCCCTCTGGATCTGTGTCGCAAGGTGAGAAAAGGGCTGCTTGGGCTTCCACGCTGGCCCTCGCTGCATCACAAAGTGCACAGGCAGACTTCGGTAACAACTCCTCTCCTCTATTCTTACACCCCGCAGTCCGCTGTGAGCCTGTCTGCCTTTCACTGCGGATATCGTGGAGGGAGGCCGGAGCGTGAAGAAGACACCAGAGAGGTAAAAAAAAAAAAAAAAAAGACTCCCAGAGTTTGAATTTACTGCTTCGCTTTGGCCGCTGTGCATCACTGTATAATAATAATAGCTTTACAGTTATCCGTTACATATCTTTAAATAGAAGGATCTAAGAAATTGAATTTTTATATGTGTGGCTCAGGTTGTAAAGCATGTGATTAGACCGCTAAAGTGGCGCAGTATGAAAAAAAAAATATGCGTGCGTTGCGTCGGTGTCCAATCAGACGTCTTTGCGCCGCCGCAACTGGTGCCAAGACGCATTTACACACACCGCAGGCTACTGTAGCAGCCTATGGCAGCCTATGGCATAATCCCAGGGCTTCATCTGCACCAATCAGAGATGAGATGGAACTTTTTCTGCCACTGAATGAGCCCAATTACAGCGTCTCTGAAGGCAAACCCAAACAATATTTATGTTGTTTCATTGTCTGCGTACGCTTTTGAAGCAATCTATACTTACATTCTGTCTTTTGCTAAACTTGTACTTTATTCCTTGTAATTAGTCCACGAATAATTTACAATTTAGCAATGATTTTTTTTCCCCCCAGTCTTAGAGCTAATAAATACAATTATTACGTTTTGGCAAATGCATTATTAATAGTAGAATTTAGCGTATTTGAAGTATAATAATACTACACATATACAGCATCATTATGATGATTGTAATTATTGGAGCATGGTCACTATAGAGGTTTTAATAATCTTGTGTCCTAGAGCTAATTTCTGCATATATACTTGTAAATGTATAAAGTAAACACATTGTTATCCCCCACCAGCCTTTATCCTTATACTACTGTATGTCTTAATACTTTGGAATTTGCATTTAAAATTTAATTATTTTAAAATGAAAAAAATAGGAGCACAAGTTGTGTTCTAAAGTTTATTGCGGCATGCAGAACTGTTTGTATGTTCTTTTTTAATTAAGTTTTGTTGAAGGGGGGTTCAGAGAAAGTCACTTCATGTGCAGCTTTAGCAGACACTGCATAGTTTTTGCTATGTGCTACACATCTTTTTGTTGGATATCTAAACGCACACATACTTGCACACGATTTGATACATAATTGTGGACATCATGCATAAGTAATGGCTGTTGTAGCTGGGACTCTAACTAAGTGGTAACTGTCTGTGATCCTGCTCTGAAAATTGAGTGTTGTGCTCTCACACTGATCGCACAATCAGAGATCAGGCGGCACATGAGTCTGCTTGATAGAACCCAACCATATATTTCCAGTTATCATCAGGACCTGCTCATCGTGCTTCATTTGAGCCAAGCTGAGATAAAATGTGACAGGCAGCTTGTACCTGAGATGAGTAAAATTTGATTTGACTGGTCCAATCAGGTTTAATTGAAATGAATTGAATCAGCCCATTTCTTCTGCTACTGTAATTAAATTAGTAGCTGGGCCGCAATTGGACGTCGAGTTGGCACTTGAGAGGAGATGACAAAATGCTCATTGCTGCCGCCAAAGGACTATGTGTCAAATTTGATGTGAAAATGCTGTTTGACACACTGGCATAAGCTGTCGCTTTGCTCGAAGTGTGTACAAACAAACACGCTAGGATTATCTCCTGGACTGAGCCACTTCCTCATGTGAATGAAAAAGTGTGGAGATATGCATGCAAGTCATCAGAACAAATTAAGTGTGAAAGCACATTTGCTGCATATAGAGTGCAGCAACATTTCTGTTATTGCTTTATAGCCCCCAAAACACCTAAATGAATGCCAAAAACACTGACGCTGGCTTGCCACTGCAGCTCTTACAAGGTCTGAAATAAAAAGGAGTCACAGACTCAGAGTCTGTAACCTATGGATCTTTTGAAAATTCAAAATTAAGAATTAACATGAGAAAAAGTTGAATAAAATTCTGCAGCATGCAGAAATAATAACACTGTCGACGTGTGATAAAACTGCAGTGCTCGTAGATCGGTTTATATTGGTGTAAGCTTCCTCGATAAAGATACACGTGAGAACATTATTGCACTTTGATGTTTGAATTGGAGGCCTTGTGTCAAATATCTCCTGTATCAACCAGGCCCACCACTCAGGAAGGGAAGAGGTTTTACTGCTCCAAGGCCTTGGTCATCTGTGGCTCTAATGCCATTTCCAAGAACAATGAGCAGAAAAGGGCTAAAGCCGCACTGATGACACTTAATCTCATTGGAATTCCTTGTCAGGTTTGACCTTGGAAAGATATTAGCCACTCGACAAGTGACTGTGGGCGAGGGGAGGGGCTGCGTGTGTGTCTGTCTGCAGTTACTGTGCGATTGTAAGTTTCTATTTAAGTATACAAATATGCTTCCTTGTGCTTTATCGCATATCATAGTGGCAAAATGATTTTCACTGAACTTGAAAGCCATTTCAGGTTTACAAGTGCAGCGTGAGCTTTTCTACCGAGTGTGTCTGCGCAGCGGTGTAGCAGTCGTGATGTGACTGTGGGGTTGAAAGAGATTATCCATATGCATGTGAGCAGCCAGAAACCAGACCATTGGGCTGCAGGGATCTGTGGTCCAGTGATGTGTGTGCCACATTGTCTGTTCAATACAGGCATCTAAATTTTTAAACAGCATCAGTTACTTCATACTGCCATTGTTTTGGCACCATTTGCCTTGCTTAATCCTGTCACATATCTGTGCTATCTTACAGTGCAGAGGTATGTGTCTGTGAGTGTGTGTGTGTCGGTGTGGGACGCTGAGAGATTTTGTGTCATTATGAGTAGTTTGCGATTAGAAGTGTGTGTGTGTGTGTGTCAATATCTTTACAAATTTGTGGAGAGAGATAAAACTTAAACGCACTCATTTTTACACTGTGCCTCTGATTTTCGACATTCTCACAAGTGTGTTTCTGTATTTTACTCCCAAAGTGACTGCCTTCATTCAGTCCACAGTGTTGCATCAGTTTGTTTCAGCTGTTCCCACTACAAAGATGCATACAAGGTGACATTGCTTGCAAACAGCCTGCAAGCATTAAAAGCAGCATTTAGAATCAAAACGATATCCATCCAAGTAAAGCTGAAGAGATCCCGTGTTGCCACTTTTTGCAAAAAAACCCAACAATTCCTGACTTTTTCCTTTTAAGTACTGGTATCTAAATAGATGCGCATTTGTGCACGAATGTGTTTCACAGACTGTTTTCAACTTAAGAAGTAGAATAAATTGGAAGTAAATATGACGCAGCGTTTGTCTCAGTGATATCAGACTTCAACACCCGCACGTCCCAGAGACATAAAAAAAAGCAAAGTGCTGTTAGAACATTACTGCTGTAAAGGAGTTGCATCTTGTGGGGAAGATTCCTCAGTTTACCATTCTGGATGCACCGTTATGTCAACAAACCCTCAGTCTTTCTCTTTCTGTCTCCAGGGAGAAATATTTGCACAGGGAACCCTTCTCTGTATAGTTTCTATAGTATTCACTTATTTGTCCCCAACGCTGACTTATTTATGGCAACCCGCTAATGAGCTATACGGTCTTTTGTAGTGACAGACAGCATGTGTAAACATTTAGATTTTTTTTTCTCCCTCTTCAAGTACAAGGCGAGATCCACCAAATTAAAAGGCACAAAGTGAAATGAAATCGCGCAGCAACCTAACACCTGATCAAATACAAGGTTACCCATGCAGTGTTTTGTGTTTTGCCGTGTTAATGCCCTATGTTGCTATCAGTCTGGCGTGTGTTTTGGAGGACTGCCAGCCAGAGGAGGAAGAGCACCTATTTTGTGGAGAGGTAATTGCTACACAGTAGCCTCTGATTGCCAGGAACTTTCACTGGGAACGGCCCCGGCTCCCTTTTCACTCGCACCGACAGCCTGATTACAAATCATCTTATTGATTTGATGAGTGCAAGATGTTTGCTAATAACTGTTCTCATACCATCTGTTAATCTTTGTTGTGATTAAAGAGGTAATCCCAATACCCATTATTCCCAATGACAAGAGCGGGGGGATCGTTCTCTTACACAAGCTTTAGTCTCTCGCAGGCCAGGCTGGGCTGAAAGGGAAGCTCAGGAGAGGGGGATGGGGGTGCAGTACCTAGGATATCAGCGATCTCCGAATGCAACTGAGAAGTCTGCGCCACCTTCCACATAACAAACGCGATACGAAAATAAAAGGGGGGGAGAATTACATCCTTGCTAAAAATCCATTACCTCGTGTAATCACGCAAAATGATTTTTCTTAAATATGATAATAAATCACAGGCTGGATCAATAGCCTGCGGACCAACTGCTATGCCCTGATAACGTATCAATCAATATTTAGTATTTAGTATTTAGATTTTAATTAATACCTTGGCGGGGCTCGGAGCCCGTTAGCACACGAAAGAAATATAATCTGTGATAAAAATAGACCAGAATAAATACATTTTTAAAAGCAAATGAGCTCCTGTTAGCATTTGCACAGTAGCCCCTCGTATCTGTCATTGATCAGTCAGTTTCTCAGTTGTGATTAAGGACCCTTCAAAATCAAGCTTTGTGTGTATGGAGGTGTGCGTGTGTGCATGCATTGCATAGAGGAGGGATGGACGTGTGCGCGGGTTCACGTGGAAACATTTTCATCGATCATTCTCGGTAAGGCTGAGCTTCTGAAGCACCTGATCCAAACTGTTCATACACAGAAGATCAAGTGTGAAGGATGTGTTGTATTTCAAGTGAAAACATAAGCAGAAATATGAATATGTGGGGCTAGGTTAATTGGAAAATCCAAATTGTCATTAGGTGTGAATGTGCGAGTGAATGTGAGTGTGAATGGTTGTCTGTCCCTGTGTGTTGGCCCTGCGACAGACTGGCGACCTGTCCAGGGTGTACCCCGCCTCTCGCCCTATGACAGCTGGGATAGGCTCCAGCGCCCCCGCGACCCTGAAAAGGATAAGCGGAAGTGGATGGATGGATGGATGGATGAATATGAATATGCTACCAGAAGATTTCTGGTTTATCAGTAGTCTGAGATATATTATATATTGACAGATCATGTTTCTGTATGCTATGTTTACATT